TTATATTATATTGCATTATATTATACTTAGAAACAAAATTATCAATGACAAAAAAATCCTAACCCATACTTCTACATCACTCATTATTTATGAAACTATTTTTCATTACTATTTTTACACAAAATGTTTACAAACCATAATTTCAGTTATCGTTTTTGTCATTCTCTCACCTGACAACAACCTTCTTTTCCATGCTCTGCCTAATTCATTTCTTGATGAAAATTCAACCAGTGGCTTGATAATACACGTCTTAGTGAGATTATTCAGGGATCAGAAAGTCTTTTCCCTTCTAACTACAAGAGAAAGGGGAACAAAAGAATAAATTATCTTCAAACTTACAGGTGTCACATTTCTTTTTTTTTTTTTAAGGAATGGTTTCCCCAGGACATCACAACAAACTGTCAAGCCCAGGCATTTTATTTATTTTTTTGGTACCAGGGATCGAACTCAGGACCTGGCGCTTTCGAGGCAGGCAGAAGAACCACTGAGCTAAATCCCCAGCCCAGGTGGCACATTTCTAATCAGCTCTTTGCCAGCTCCTAGATTCTTGCCCCTTCCCTTCTTAATTCAACACTAAAATATTTTAAATATTCTTTAATTGCATTAAGTAATTTTCTAAGAAAGGAAAGAGTCACAATCAAAAGATATGACTTGTAGGCAGCTCTCTCCGCCAGCCTTGCTCCTGGAAGCAGAGCCACTACTTTGTTCCTCCCTGACCCAGGGGCAACTGACGATGAATAACACACACACACATACATACATGCACGCACGCACACGCACACACACCACGCTCTACGTGCGGGCAGCCAGGAGGCTCATATCTCTCCAGGCAGAGGAGTCCCGAGCCTTTGGCTCACCTCACTTTTATTCACCCAAACACAGGCACAAGCAATCAAAGTAACACAAGATTCATCTGGTGGTCCAATATCCATTAGAACATTCTCTGGTAAAGAACTTAACCTCAGCTGTCTTTAACTTTTTCCTAATATGCAATCACCCTTAAGTGCAGCCTTTCTCCTTAGTGCTCACAGAGGAGGCCAATTAGGCCTTAATTCTCCTCTTAATTAGGCGTCTTAATTCTCTCAACAGTGACTGGCTCATTCTTCCTGGCAAGGTCGTGTTCTAACACCTTCAACTTCTGTTCATAATAGCACTAGTAGGGGCCAAGATTTCTTAGTTTTTCTCCAGATTAATTTTATGGCTGTCAGTGTTATCTATAACAATCTTCAAGCAGTTTTTGTTTAGCAGTAGATGTTATAGTGTGCAGTTTTCATTTTCAAGAGATGATCAATTTTATCCAAAATATTCATTATGAAGTAAATAAATAATATAGTTTGTATTTATTTCTTAATGCAAAGAATAGTAGTGTTGTGGGTTGAACTGGGTTTCCCAAAAAGATATGCTGATGTCCTAATCCCTGCTACTTTTTTTGGTACCAGGGATCAAACTCAGGACCTTGCACTTGTGAGGCAGGCACAGCACCACTGAGCTGAATCCCCAGCCCCATCCCTGCTACTTATGATGTGACCTTATTTGGAATTAGAGTGTTTCACAGATGGTTCAGAAGCATCTTTCACGTAAACACTATTATTTTAACAAATTACTGTACAACTACCTTAGATGAGGGAAATTATAAGTACTTATTTCCCATGAATAACACTCAACACAAAGTGTAAAACAAATGCAGAAATATCACTATAACAATATTTCCAATTTATAAATTTATAAATAACATCAAAAGAAACAGCTAGAAGAATGGAGCTTGGGGCTATTTTCTCTTTTTTTTTGGTACCGGAACTCTGGTCCTTGTGCTTGCGCAGGAGGCGGTGAAACCACTAAGCTACATCCCCGGCCCCTTGGGGCTATTTTCTGCTATACACTTTAATATTAATTTTTTTGGAGATGGTCTCACTATGTAGTTCAGACTGGCCTTGAACTCACTATGTATCCTAGGCTGGCCTCAAACTCGCAGTGATCTTCCTGCCTCAGCCTCCTAAGTGCTGGGATTACAGGCATGCTCCACCACACCCGACCTTAATATTAATTTTTTTTTTTTTTTTGGTACCGGGGATTGAACTGGGGACCCCGCGCTTGCGAGGTAGGTGGAGGCACCACTGAGCTAAATCCCCGGCCCCTTAATATTAATTTTTAAACCTCACACTAATTTGGAAAAAAATCTTGAACTTTCTACAGTATTTTGTATTTTTTTTCCTTTGGTATCGGGGATCGAACTCGGGACCTTGCGCTTGCGAGGCAGGCGGTGGAACCACTGAGCTGAATCCCCGGCTGCAGTTTCTAACAATGACTGAAAAAAATCAATGGTCTTACTAAAGAAAAACGAGGAAATTTATATTTTAAACCCCAGAATAAGTTTCAGCTACTTCTTCCAGGAAGCCTTCCCTGACACCACTATGTCTCATACTTTCACAACACTTAGGAAAGTACCAATCTAAAATATATAGACTAGAATCCAAATAGCATTTATGAGGCGCGTACTGAGAGCCACAGTACTAAGCAGTTTTCATGAATTAACTACTTAATACAACCACCTCAGCAGGTGACTGCCATCTTCATTTTATAGATAAATGCCCAATGTCGCTAGCTGTGTGGAACTAGGACCAGTATTCAAGGGCCTAAGCCGTCCATCTCAAATACACATCTACACAGAAGCTGACTACACGTACGAACGGCCTCCCAATAAAATAAAAACGAAGCACCCACTTCTCACTTCGGGGGAGAATTCATGGTCTGAATGCTAACACCTAGTCGTTGGCCCAGCCACGCAGCTGGGATCCCTAAACTGATTCGCACTCGCTCACACCTAAGAGCCTTGCGTGGGCTCTGGCCCAGGGCTGGAGCCCGCTGGTGGCGCGGAAGAATGCGGCGCCCCGGAAGGACGAACAGACAGGGAGATCTCTGAGGGCCGTTCTGGGGGCTGTTCTCGCATCCCCCCGCCGGAACCCGAGCTCCGGGAGTAAGGGAGCATCACTTACCACCTGCACCTGTACAAGAGAAGAAAGCAGAGGCGCCACAGAAGTCGCAGGGCCTTACTCGGAAGCATATGCGCTTGTTTCCGGGCTCACAGAGAAGCAGAGCCACTTAAAGGCTGAGGACAATCATACTGGGCCTTGCACTTGAGAAGGCCGAGACCTCCGGGACGGCGCCCAGGAGGAGTCCAGGTGAGAGCCAGCGCACTCAGAAGGCCTCCTCAGGCCAGCGCGGCCTACACCAGGTTTTGCTCTTCGCTTGCCTCTGGACGCCGGCCACGTGCTGACCCCGCCCACGTCTCCACGGCGACGCGAGGCGCGCGCCAGGCGCCCCGCCCCGGATGCTGCAGTTCGCGCAGCCTCAGTAGCACGGGTGATGCGCCTACCTCTAGCCAAACTGGAGCTCCAGCGCTTCTACACTAGTAGTGAGGGCTATTGCGCTTCCTGGACACTCCTGTGGATGGCTCTTCCCTTGCTTGTCGATTCATTTCTGTCTGAGCTCAGTTTCCCACTGCTTTTCTTAGCCCAGAGGAGTTTGGAGGCGCATCCCCAATTTATGCCTGCTCTGGCCAAACACTAGGGATTAAGTTCGGGTCAGTAGGCAATTGCCCTAGAAGTCTTCTTTCCTCAATCTCTAAATTCTTCAAGGCTCCCAGAGGGTGGGAGCCGGAACTGTGGATCAGGGCGTGGACCTGGGAGGTAGCTGCGACCTGGACTGGGGTAGTAGGGTTCCTGCAGCCCCAGAATTAGAATTATGTTAGACTGATACCTTCTTTTTTGGGGGGTACCGGGGATCAAACTCAGGACCTTGCGCTTGCGGAGGCAGGCGCGGTGCCACCGAGCTAAATCCCCGGCCCAGGCTGATACCTTCTTATAACCATTCCTTTCAAATGTAATTAATTACACTAATTATATTTTTTAATTTGGGTCCCCTCTGATAATCTTTTAAACACAGGAGTGGGAGAGGGTAAGTAGAACGTTTTTGTATACTTTCCCCTGTGCTTTATAAAACATTTGAAAGCACTTGAGATTTCTAGAGACAATAATTAGCATTATTCATATAAGTACTTGAAACATTTTAAGTTAAAAATGTAAAGAAAAACAACTGTTGTGTGTCTCCGGGTTTGAATGCCAGGTAATTTACATTTTTACCCTATTTTTAAATTTTTTTAAATTTTTTTTTGAGATAGGGTTTTGCTGTGTAGTTTAGACTGGCCTTGAACTCACTATATAGCCCAGTATGACCTCGAACTGTCAGCAATCCTCCTGCCTCAGCCTCCCAAGTGCTAGAATTACAGACGTGTGCCACCCCAGCTGGTTTGCCCTTTTTTTAGGTACTGTACATGTTTTGGTTTTGGTGGTACTGGGGTTTGAACCCAGCACTGAGCTACAACACCAGCTTTTTAAAAAATTTTCAGACAGGATTTCACTGCATTGCCCAGCCTCCCTCAGCCTCCCGCAGCTGGGATTACAGGCATGCATTGTAGCAACTGAGTAACGTTAATTTTTTGTAATTTATAGAAAGTGGCCATGGGCTGGGGATTTAGCTCAATGGTTCTGGCACCTACCTCGCAAGCGCAAGGTCCAAGTTCGATCCCTGGTACCAAAAAAATAAATAAAGTGGCTAGGCATGGTGGCACAGGCTTGTAATCTCAGATACTCCAGATGCTGAGGCAGTAGGATTCCAAATGGGAGGCCACCCTGAACAACTTAGACCTGTCTTTAAAAATAACGGGGACTTAGCCAGGTGTGGTGACGCACGCCTGTTATCCCAGCAGTGGGAAGGCTGAGGTAGGAGTATCCACTGCAAGTTCAAGGCCAGCCTGAACTACATAGGCAGACTCTGTCTCAAAAAAACAATGAATAAATAAAATAATGGAACTGGTGAAGTAACTCTGGTAGAGTGCTTGCCTAGCATGTGCAAGAACCTAGGTTCAACCCCCAGTAGTACTTGGGGAAAAATAAGTTTTAAAGAAGTTCTATGTTAGCAGTCACAAAAGCCAATCTTTTAGGTATGATTCATCTAAAATTATGTGACCAAGTGTTTTAAGATAATTTGGTGCATCTCATAGTCATAATACTGTTAACTAATTTTTACTTGCTGTAAAATTTGTCCTGTAAGCACTTTTGTATAAATATTTCATATTCATGATGATAAATCAGTAAGCCTATTTTCTGGATGTGAGCTTATTTGGTGACACTTTCTTCTTATCATGTGCATTTACCACCTTCAGCTTTGCTCAGCTGAGGAAAGGACACAATGCATTTTCACATGAGTTTAATGAAAGTAATTCTGTTGGGAAAGTATAGAAGATAATGGTACATAACAATAGATAGTGAAGCAGCACGTATTCAATGTCAGGCTCTGTGTTATTTCCCATTTATAAAATTGGAGATTTTGGGCTGGGAATGTAGCTTAGTCTCATAGTTTTTGCCTAGCATGCTCAAGTCCCTGGTTTTGATCCTCGCTGCTGCAAAACAAAACAAGAACATGTAAAGTCCCAGCATAGTCTAAGGTCTGCAAATAATTATCTTTGGGAAGTCCCCTTAATAATTTCTTTCTCAGGCATAACCTGAACATAGGATTCTACAGTGAAATGCCTGGCTTCTTGAAACTAGGGATTATCTACAGACACACAAACACACATACAAACACACATATGTAGAGGGGATTGAACCCAGGGCCTTTGAACTGAGCTACATCCCCAGCCCATCTTTCATTTTTTTAGGACAGGGTCTTGCTAAGTCACTAAATCGCCAAGCTAAACTTGAACTTGCAGGCCTGCTTTACTTTCCCAGAGTGCTGGGATTACAGGCTTGTGCCACTAGGCTTGGTTTAGGAATTATCCTTGGAGCAAGAAAAACTGAGTAAGAACAAGCCTATTTAGACAGGTGCAATCTCATCCTTTTGAAATGAAGCTTCTAAAGATTATGGCCTCGCAGTAAAACCTCACAGGCACTCTCGTAATACCTAGGTTTCTTATATTTTCATTTTCTTCTCTATTGTTGTCAATTTCCTCCACTGATTGAAACTGTGCCCTTATGCCAAAGTTTGAGCAAATAGTCTGGTCCTAAACCAAGTTCATACAAATATTTCATAAAGAACTAGAATAAATAACTTATCTTTTACTCTCAAAGGGATTTCCCATATTGATATTTGAAAATTGTCACAAGAGATGGTAATTTCAAATTATTCTTGCCACAGAGAACATGTCAAAGCTATAATGAAACAAGGATTAGCAAGCCTCTAGTTTTTGAGTGGCACCGGTACAAAAAGTTTATGGGTTCCCTTCATAAAGTATTACTTTGACTCTTAGGGAATAATTATCTTCTTTTACCAGGACAAACTGAGAAGTGAATTGAAGCAGAGATTCTACATAAGACATTAAAGAAGGACCTAGTGGGCCGGGGATTTAGCTCAGTGGTTCCGCCGCCTGCCTCGCAAGTGGAAAGACCCGAGTTCGATCCCTGGTACCAAAAAAAAAGGACTTAGTCGAGTGGCAGCAAACCTATGGCACATGTGCCACAGCGGGCTGTATCAGTGAAAGCTCTAAAAGGTTTGCCATCACTAGTTTGGTGAAAGAGTAGGTCCTAACCAGAATAGACTAGAGCACTGGTGCCAAACCTATGGCACACGTGCACAGTTGGCTGTTTGTTATTATTGAAAGTTCTAAAAGGTTTGCCATCACTATGACATTCCTCTCATATGAACGAGTCACCTGACTCTCTTGAATACAGGCCAGCCTTAGTGACTCCTAAGGAACAGAAAGTGGCAAATTGCAATGCTAACCCTGAGTGACTTCAAGACTAGCAATGCAAGCCTAGGAGTGTAGCTCACTGGCAGAGTTCTTGCCTAGCATGTGTTCCATTATAAGCGAACATTGAGTGGGGGTGGGGGGCAATGTAGCAACTATCTGGAAGTCTTCTCTCTTTGGACACTTGCTCTTGGAATTTGAAGTTCAGGCCACATTGGAAAGCCACATGTAAGTGTTCCAGCCAAAGCTGACAGCCATCTTCAACTACCAAACAAGTCAGTGAGATTTTAGGTGATCCCAGTCTGCAGCCTTTAATCTGTTCCAGCTGATGCTGAGTGCAGCAAAGAGAGACCAGCTGTCTCAGCTGGTACCAGCCCAGTTTACAAATGTGGAAGCAAAATAAATACAGGTTTAAGCCTCTGAGTTTTAGGGTATTTTGTCGCACAAGAAATAACTAGATCAGTTTTTTGTGATGCTGGGGATTGAACCCAGAGCCAAGCAAATGATAAGCCCATGTTCTATCACTAAGCTACATCCCCAACTCCAAGAGTTTTTTGTTTTGTTTTTCAGTCTCACTATGCAGTTCAGGCTGGCCTTGAACTATGTACCCTAGGCTGGCCTCAAACTCACAGTGATTCTCCTGCCTCAGCCTCTTGAGTGCTGGGACTATAGGCGTGCACTACCACGACTGGCAACCCCAAGAATTTTTATATTAACAAACTCCTCCCACAAGCCTGTAAAGTAGATTCTGCTATCCCTTTGACAGATGAGGAAACTGATAGAGTGAAGTGCCTGACTCAGGTTTCACACTTAAGGGGCAAAGTAAGTAGTTAATAGCTTCGAGAACACCCTTTCTGTTTGGGGATATAACTCAGTGGTAGAGCACTTGTATAACACACACAAGGTCCTGGATCTGCAGCATGGAGGTGCATGGAGGTGGGGTCTTCTGCATTCCATAATACCGTATTTCCATGAAAATAAGACCAGGTCTTATATTGTTTTGCTTCAAAAGACACAATAGGTCTTATTTTCAGGGGATGTCTTTTTTTATGTACAACAATCTACATTTATTCATGTACAAAAATCTACATTTATTGAAATACAGATATCTACTTCTGGAATATTATTAACTTTCCAAACCTCAAATTCCAGCCTCAATTTCTTGTGACTCCATTTCCTGTGGAACCATTGGCCCCAATATCTCATGTCTGGCAATAAGCTGTCTTTAAACGTGCACTTCTTGTCCAGCTCATAGTGCATCAACAACACAGCTGTCTGTAATTTTATTCCATGAATTCTTCACCTACGTCACGCCCTCTTGCAGGCAAGGCTTCACAAAGTTTCCACTAAATCAAGTGTTAATTGAAGACTTAAGAGGAGTGACAACAAAAAATGACAGTGCTGGGGATTTAGCTCAGTGGTTCTGCTGCCTGCCTTGCAAGTGTCAGCAAGTGTCAAGGTCCCAAGTTCGATCCCTAGTACAAAAAAAAAAAAAAGCCCTAAGAAAAAAATGATGACAGTTAAGAATGATGGTCCTTCAGTGGTGCCTCGACTGCAGTCCTGAGTTTGATCCCCAGTACTGAAAAAAAAAAAAAAAATAAGAATGATGGTCCAAATTGCAGGCACCAAAATTCAGGAAATGTTTATTTCACACACGAGTGCATTAAGTATGTCTGTTACAACACACAACGTATTGAACTATGACAATTCCTATCAGATACAACCACATCTGATCATTCTATCAAGTGTACATGTTATTCATGCATTGTGTGTACTCCGGCTGGTCATTCAGCAATAGGTTCATCTGTTTACACAGGTGTCTACCTCTCATCCAAAGGCACTTGCTTGAATACTTACAAGTACTTATAATTTGTATTCTTTAAGTGTTAATGTCAAAAATATTTATATATTCTATACATCCATCGTGTGTTGCATCCAATGTATTAAATTTGTCTGACGATCTTAATTGGGGTTTATTTGGTGGTATGGCTTGTATTACGAGCATCCTAACAAAACCATGCTAGGCCGTATTTTCTGGTTAGGTCTTATTTCAGGGAAATACAGTAGCCAAGGGATTGGTCTTATTTCTCCCCACTTGGAGAAGCTTGGTTTTTGGTTTTTTTTTTGGTGGGGGGTACCAGGTATCGAACTTGGGACCTTGCGCTTTGGGGACAGGCGGCGGCACCACTGAGCTAAATCCCCAACCCTGGAAGCTTGGCTTTTTTGGTGCAGGGATCAAACCCAGGGCCTCACCACTGCTAGGCAAGTGCTCTATCACCAAGTTACATCCTTAACCCAGGAATCTTGGTTTTAAAAATAAAAACCAATCATTGCTTGATCACCTACAATGTGTCTCTGTATGGGCTTAAAAAAAGATTTCCCCTGCTTTCTTGAAAAAGTTTTAATTTTTTTTTTCAAGAAAAGATTTAAAAGCTTTATAGAGTTTGTTATGTGGCTTTTTACCCACCTTGTTCTATTTAATCTTGTCAACTCCCCTGTAAGTGGGTTATCATCTTCCCAGTTTTTCAAATGAAAAAATAAGGCTAAGGATAAATCTCTTAACTCTCCACAGCCTGTAGGGGGATGCAGATTCTAGCAGGAATTGCAAACGTTTCTCTGCCTGTCTACAGAAAAGACAGTTTGTAAGAAACAGCTTTTATTTAGTTATACAGACAAAAGAAAAACATTGTAATTGTTTTCTCTGTTGTCGAGGCTCACAGGAAGGGATCTTAGTGATCATTCACTATTCAGCCCCCTCGTTTTCCAAGTGAAGTGATATTTCAGAAAGAAAGACCCTTTGAAAGAAAAGTAGGCTTCGCTGCTCTTTCACGGAACAGTATTGTTTCTCACCACGCCCGTGTATCATTCAACAATAACTCTGGGCAGTGCCACTGGGCAGAAACGGTGGCTCGAGATATAACTGTAGGCTAGACCTCCTGCCCACAACAGCAGTTCTTTGCACTGCTCACATACTGTACTTACACTTCTGTGCCCCACTAAGATTTAAGAGTCTTGGTCAACTTAGTCTTAGAGCCTGACATTTGCTCATTTTCCCCAACTACATTTGTGCTTCCCTCTCTTGTGCGGGCTGATTTAAGAAAGATGAGATCATAGGTGAGAAAGACAATTTCAATGAATTTGTCAGTCATCTTTATCTGTATCTAAAATAACTGTAACGAGGTTACTTGGGGGGGGGTAATTGGGGATCGAACTTGGGACCTTGCGTTTGCCAGGCGGGCGGCGGAATCACTGAGCTAAATCATGGGCCCAAGAGGTTACTTATTAATGCAACTCGAACTACTGCCTAATCCACATTTTTTTTTTCCGGTACGGGGGAATCGAACTCAGGACCTTGTGCGTGCCAGGCAGGCGCGCCGTCGCTGAGCTACATCCCCGGCCCAATCCTCACATTTATAGGCCATTTTAAGAGTGAACTCAAGAGCATGCCACTAGTAAAAAAAAAAAAAGATAAAAAAAATACAGTCGAGTTCCAGTAACTCAGGTTCCCAATGTTGAAGCTCCAGCGGCCACCCCACTAAAGGCCACGCTGCATACTCTGGCCCACCTAATATACTGGCGCGTGTCTCGGGCCCCTACCACCCTTCGTCCCACCGCCTCAGCACGCGTGGGAACGCGGTGCCCTCCCCAGGGCTGTCCACAGCGACCGCCTGAGCGCAAGGGCGCGAACTTCCGCCACCCCAGCCGCGGCTTCCTCCCTGCCGCCACTCTCGTCTCCTTCCGGCCGCTTCCTCCCCTCCGCTGGGCCAGCGCAGGGGCCAAAGCCCCTTGAGTGCGCCGTAATGTTCCTCTTTTCTGCCCGGCACCGCTGCAGCCACCTCACATCCGGGCGCGCAGCGGCGAAGGGGGCGCTGGGGCCCCGGTGCGTGGAGGGAATTATTAACAAGAAGGGGGCGGGAGAGGAGGAGCGAGGGGCCGGGCTTCAGTTACGGAGGCTGAAGAGAGACAGCCCGAGCAGGTGGGGGATAGGGGGAAGAGCGAAGGCCGCAGGGAGCAACGCTGGAACCGGAGCGGGCGGCAGGGAGGGGAGCGGCGACCGAGGCGAAGGGCCGCCGTGCGGCGGAGGCATCGAGTAAGGGTCTGGGAGTAGGGTCTGGGAGTCCGTGCTTAGGGCTCCTGGGGTCGCGTGCGCGAGTGCTGGGGCGCGCGCGGTAGGCGGGCAGGGGCTAGAAGCCCGCGGGGTGGCCGTCGGGCAGCAGGCAGACTGGCTGGGCCCGGGCCGCGCTAGATGGCGGCGGGCCTACGCCAGCTCCAGCTCCAGCTCCAGCTCCAGCTCCAGCTCCAGCTCCAGCTCCAGCTCCAGCTCCAGCTCGAAGTGCCCGGGCCTGGGATTTGGCCTCCCGGTTCCCTCTGGCCCGCCTCCTTCAGTGAGTACTGTCCCCGCCCTTCCTCCGAAGAGGCCACTCGGCCAGGGCCAGCGCGCGGGGCCCGGGGGGTTGGCCTGGGAAAGCTGAGTTTCAGAGCTGAAACCTGCACTTGTCTGTTTCCCTGCCACGGGCGCCCCTGGCACGGCCACAGGTGCCGGCCGGCTGGAATAGGGGTGCTCGGGCTCCGTCTCAGCCCCTGACTCTCAGATAACCAGGGGCAGCTGGCGCCGTCCATTGGCAAGTGACAGGCACTTTACAAAGCCCGACTTCCCGGATCCCCCGCCCCAACCGGTCTCCTACCTGGCCCCACTCCGGGAAACTTCCCCACTTCTGAGCTGTCCTCATGGTTGACAGCGACTAATGTTGATGTTTCTCTTTGTATTAAAGCTGGTTAAAGGTTGTACTCTAGGTTGAGCACCTTCCACTCTACCTTCCTTGCTCTGTTGATATTTAGAATACTAGGAAAAAATAACATGGTCCCTGTGATTCTACATCCAAATTGATTTTGGCTTATACCATCATCTTTGGATTGATTTTCTTTTAAAAACTATTTTAAGACATAAAGCTTCCTTTAAAAAAAAAAAAAAAGCAGCTAGTTAGACTTTTGAAAACTTACTGTTCTCGGTGACAGTTTCCCACTGATTTATCTTCCAGGTGTAAAAAGTTTTAGACCAAGGAACCATGGATAGGAGAAGTGTGGGTGAAACAGAAAATGGAGATGCTTTCCTTGACTTGAAGAAGCTGCCGGCCTCCAAGTCCCCCCATCGCTATACAAAAGTAGGCTTTGTTACTAATGAAATAGTGTTTCTTTGTAGATGGGGAGTTTAGTAACATTGTGTAGGTATTTTGTTGGTATTATCTAAAGTAGTCTTGCTTGCTATGTGGACAGAATTATAGCTAAATTCAGCAAAAATTGCTTCGAAATGTACTGGAAGAGTACATTTTTCTGGAAGGGTGAATACCGAGTTTGAATTGGAGTTTGCTTCATGTGGCTTTTAGGTGAAGAGAGAGAGTATTGTCGCAGACCAGGTATGAATTTGTGAATACATTGATACCCAAGTTCTGACACAGCTATGTAATTGACCTGTTACTGACTTACATGATGTAGGATGAGGATTACAGCTATGGCATGCCTCACTAAATGAAGTGTCCTCTCTCTTGATGTTTCCTTGAGAGACAAATTCACTGTAGGAATGGTGAAAGGTGAATGGATTGTAATTGTTTTTTTTCTTCCTGTTACAAATTGAATGTGGACCCACAAAAATAAAGCTTCAATCATGTTTCTCTTACCCAAGAACTTGTAATTTTACACTGCTTGTCTAGATATCAGCTGGAACTGGACAGGGTATCTCAGGAATCACTGCAAGATCTTATATTAAAGATACTAAATCAGTTTCTTCTTGGCTAATAAGTGTTTCTGAAGAGCTTGACAGCTGTAAATTAATTTTTAGATTCCTGAAATGTTCTGAGCTAGAATACATAAAATGTGCTTAAGGTACAGAGCAATTAGGACTGTTGATGAGAATGGTCATATTTTAGTTGGGCCCACATCTGTATTTCCCTAGTATGAACCTGTTATGGTTTAGATAAAAAATGTCCTCCAAACATCTCATGTGTTTGGAATGTCATTGAGTCATAGCTGATTGTGCTGTTGGGAGGAGAGGCCACAGAAGGTGGGTCACTGTTACCCGGAAGAGTATGTTTTTGTCCCCTGCTCCTCCGTTCTCTCTCTGCCTCATTGATGTCATGGGGTGAGCAGTTTTCCTCTTCCATGCCCTTCTGCCCTGCAGGTTCTGCCTTGAAGCATGCTAACCATAGACTGAACCCACTGGAAACATGAGCAAAATAAACTCCTCTTTTAAATTGTGTTGGGCATTTTGTCCTATCCATAGAAAAGTGACTAATAGAGGGCCCCCCAATCATAAATACTAATATGGCTTGCTTTCCAGGATACTTACTAAACCCAGGTCTTGTTTGCATGATTGTGCTACTTCTCTTACGTGCTTAGTAAAGTGTCAAATTTTGACACTTTGGTGTCAGATATGTTTTCAGCATTAAAAAAACCAGCAAACCTGGGAAGGAGATGTGGAGGGAGTTTTCAGGTATAAAAAAGTTCTTGGTTAACTGCTGTCTTAGTGTACACAATTCGTTTTGGTCTGATAGAATGTGAGTTGTTGGAAAGCTTTTCAGTTCTGCATTCAGATTTAGTCTTTGCAAATACTGATGGTCTCAAACCCTAGAGTGCTTGAATAGTGATTCACAATTTTTTTTTCCCACAAATTAATTTCATTTCCTAAAATGTTGATAGGTGAGTTGCGAATGGTGACAGGCTTATCAAATGAAGGGAAACTGGTTTGAACTGCTTACAAGCTTATATGATTTCAAACCTAGCACTCTTTAAATTAAAATTCTTACTGGTAGTCTACTTGGAGAGTTCCAGCAGAGGCTTTTGGGTCATTTTCACACTGACCACATTTCATCTTGTATATTTCCATCTTTATGCTTCAGTCATTTTTAGGGAAATACTGTTCTCTCTAAACGTTCACAGTAAAGATTGAGAAGCTCAGCATGGGCCAGGGATTTAGCTCTGTGGTGCTGTGCCTGCCTCTCAAGTGTAAGGTCCTGAGTTTGATCCCCGGTACCGAAGGAGGTGGGGAAGCAGCAGCTCATCATGGTCCATTTAGATATTCCAACTTCAGAATTGTGTCATAAATAAATGTGCCTTTAAAAACTGGTTAAGAGGCTGGGCGTGGTTGTGCACACCTAAGATGTCAGTACTCAGGAGGCTGAGGCAAGAGGATTACCATGAATTTGAGGCCAGCCTGAACTGCATAGGGAGACCCTGACTCAAAAAAAGAAAAAAAAAAAAACTGGTTAAGAAAAGCAGGGTTTTTTAAAGTTAATGACTGGATTTTACGGTCTTCTCAACCAAATTTAGTTGGAAATAGGTTTACTTTCTAATCCATTCAAGAGGATTTAGCTCATGGTAATTCTAGGATAATGTTTAGGCAGTAATGTGGTAGTGCTTTTATGTTTTCAACACTCCAGTAATTTTGTTTTTTTTTAGGCAGGGTCTCACTATGTAGTCCAGGCCAGTCTTAAACTTGCTGTGTAGTCTAGGTGGCCCTTCACCTCTCTGTCATCCTGCCTCAGCTTCTCAAGTTCTGGAGTTACAGCCCTTTGCCACCATGCCCAGCAAATACTCTAGTAATTTTATATGGAATTTGAAGACAACCAAACATGTCTCCCATTTGAAGAGAGCTTAAAATGATCCTGTGTTTTGAGCAATGTAGTGAATGTTCTGTTCTATAACTAGGATAATACTTGAGGCTTCCTACTTGTTCATCTATATACTGAGGTCAAATTATTGGAGTAAATAATTTAGTAATGTTTCTGCCACTTCAAGTTCACAGGCAAGAAGGTCTAGAAGCAGTAGAGGGAAACTTCTCATAGTGTGTTTCTTCTTGGGGTTTTTTTGTAGGCGATCTGGAAATTTGTAAATGTGGGACGTTCACCTACAAGGTTAGAAAAACACAGGCCAGATGAGGGGCTGCTTAACTTTTTACCTGTCTTAGTGTTTCATTGCTCTTTGGGATAACATTAAAAGCCCATTGTTCAGAATTTAAAGTTTTGTTGCTTGGTTTGGTTTTTTTGTGCCCCCATCCCGAGGTGGAAGCATACAGGTGTATGCTCATCAGGTGCCTTCTAGGGTTACCATCTTTGTGTTAGGATGTCCTTTAGTCCAGTTTGCTTCTCACACGTTAATGTGCCTTAGGATCATATTATAGACCAACAGGCCTTGATGAAATAAGGATTCTAAGTGCTAGGTAGGTCAGGGGTGGAGCTGACTATGTAACCCAGGCTGGTATTGGATTTGCAGTGATCTTCCTCCTACCTCAGCCTCCTGAGTGCTGGGATTGCATGTGTGCACCATCACACCTGGCACAGGAATTAGCTTCGTTTTTTTTTTTGTTTTTTGTGTTTTTTTTGAGGTACCAGGGATCGAACTCTGGACCTTGAACTTGCCAGGTAGGCACAGCGCTACAGAGCTACATCCCCAGCCTGCAAGGATTTAGCTTTTTAAGCAGCTCCCACTGACCATAGTTTGAGGAGCAAGCCTTCATTCTTCTTTGGAGAACTTGATAAATGGTGTTGGTGTCAGACAACTCACATATATAGTTACTCCACAGGGTTCAGGTGGTGTCTGTTTTGCTTCCAGGAATATCTCAGGAGCTCAGGTTAGAATTCACCCCTACCCCTATGCCCCAGTGACAATTAACTGGGATGGTTAAAAAGGTTTATCCTATGCACCTGTTATCTTGAGGCTCCTGAACCATTAATTTATAAACTCATTCAGGTCTGTTTTGCTAGGCCAGGTTCCTAGCTATATTTTGTAGTATGCATTTTTGTTTGTTTTTTGTTTTTTTGAGACAGGGTCTCATTATATAGTCCAGGCTGACCTCAGATTCATGGCAATCCTCCTGCCTCAGCTTCCTGAGTGCTGGGATTACAGGCCTGTGCCACAATGCCCGGCATAGTAGTATGCATTTTTAAAATGACTGGGTTGTGTTAAAGGACTTTTGGAAGCTATAGAGTAGGGTCTCACCTGAACATCGTGGATGAGAAGTGGTTTAGATAGGAGTTCTCAAAATATGGCCTCTGAACTAACATTAGTATCATCTGGAACCTTGTTAGAAATACAAGTCGCAAGTCTCTTCTCAGAGGTATTGAATCAGAAACTCTAGGGGTTAGAGCCCAGCTATGTGCATTTAACAAGCCCTTCAGGGGATTCTGACTCTAGTTTGACTTTTCCAAACTATTGATTTAGGAAACCAGAAGTAGTTGTGCTTATCAGTGGAAAACTTGAGGGGACTTATTCAACTTTTTCTTACCTTCAGCGGTTCTTGTTTACCTGTTCTATTAATGATGCCATCTTCTGCTTGAACAGCAGAATAGAAATAATTTAGACTGTCTGGTTCAGATCCACACTTATTTCAGTGAACAGACAGATCTTAGATCACAGTATACACTTCTCTTCTGTTCACAAACAATTTGGTTCTCAAAAGCATTTGACAAAATTTTGCTTCTGTTCACAAACTCCATATTGGGTGAAAAACTGCAGCCCTCTTCCCCACACAAACATGCCTGTCTTCCCCAAAATTGCAAAACAAATTAAGTTCCTGAACCAAGGTACCACTGTACTCTGTGTTGTTCCTCCTTTGCTCCTGTATTGTGCCGCCAACTCATTAAGTGACATCACCTGCCAGTTGGACAGGGAATAAAAGCAGAGGACACTTACAACATTCACTGTGATACTGGCCAGCATTGAACATGTATGTTAAGTCTACTAGCTAAAAAGCAGGTGTTGGATTATCTGAGTTTAATTTCATGAGGCTCTTGTTACAGTGACTAGTTATGGTATTGATACCATTTTAGTCCTCAGTGTATGCAAGATGGTTTTTTTTGTTTTTTTTTTTTTTTTGGTTTCTTTGACCCTCATCAAATGCAAATCTTTAAAGGAGAAAACTTTAATGTGTAGCTGGTGGGCCAACTGATGATGGTAAGTGGTATATCCATATTTATGTCTGTGCTTTAAAATCATTAAACTAGATAAACCGAGTAGATTGATATGAGTAATTATCATAGCCTCCATGGAGAGAATCAGTTAAATTCTATTCGTGAAGAGAAAAGTTAAATTTAAATCCTACGTAGAAATCAGAAATCATGTGGTCAGTTTGTCCCATACAAAGATCTGATTTGCAGACTTTATATCTTCC